ATATAGATAGATAGATAGATCCATAGATAGATAGAGAGAGAGAGAGAGAGAGAGAGAGAGAGAGAGAGAGAGAGAGAGATATATATAGAGAGAGAGAGAGAGAGAGAGAGAGAGAGAGAGAGAGAGAGAGAGAGAGAGAATAAAGAGGAGACGAGAAGAAGAAAAAATCAAAAGGATAGCGACAGGAAAGACAATGATGGCCGATGAATCCTGAATGGGACCAGATAGGATTGAAATTTCCCGAATTCCACCATGTAGGATTGAAATGAAGCAGAAGAGTACAGTACGACCCGGCTAGTTTCAGTCGTGAGCTTTCATTTGAGTGCAGGGCAGGCTTTGAGTGAGCAGCTAGCTAAAACGAATGAGAACATGAGGAGCATGTGGTGTATTGCGGCTCCAGGGAGATCTTCATCAAAGAGATGTTCTCTAGTGTTCACCATGATGCCGTAAAGAGTGCCGTACACCAAGTGCTACTATGGTTCCATGGGAAGAACTGGCAGTGTGTTAATATGTCAGTCAGGGGACAGATTTGCTTTCTGGAAATGATAAGGAGACAAGAAGATAGGTACACAAGGGTAGGTTTGGATGCAATTCTGAAGCTGGTCGGATAAGACAACCAGCCTGGTCTTGTTGTGTGCTGACATAGAGTTGGTGCAAGCTTCGAGGGTACTGGACAGCGTGCCCATCGTAGTGGGGTACAATGATCATCTATCTTTCACAAGTGCCAAGGAGATTGTAAAGAAGTTTGAGGAGACGTATGATTGGAATCTACTTCTGGTCCTGAATGATGAGGGAAGTAATGGCGGTTTATTGGGGGGAAGTTGATGGTGATGATGGACCTGGTCCAGATCCACTTTGTCAACGAGACGAAGAACGTGCAGTCTCTGATGTCAGAAGGTCTACTCAAGATTCGGGCGATGCAGGATTCTGCTTCTTATTCAGAAACGAGCTTGAAAAAGCAGTTTTTTCAGCAACACTTAAGAGATTGTGGGTGTCCTCAACATTCCCACCGTCGATAGTAGGCTCGGTTGTGTTCACAGTTGCTGAAGCTTTCCTCCGGGGATACACCCCAAAAGATTGTCTGGGTGCCTTGGCCAAATTGGCCAAGAGTATGGACGAAAGAGTACTTGAGATGTTGTATGCAGGATATCACAAGATTTGAACACGTTGTGGAGTAAGTCGCTGTTGCTTTTAGGGGTAGGGGGCGGACAGACACAGTCGGAGATGAAGGGGTCTAGCCAGGTTTTGAAACTGATGACCGGACGTATCCGGCAATTTTATGTTTTCAGGTGATTCTGAAACGGTTTGAACCTTTTGCAGTAGCAGGTGCAGATCCCAGGGCTCGATCCCTAGACCCCGACCTCACCTGTGTACAGTATCAAGTCGACCCTTGTGTGTTTGAACCCGTGACCTGTGTCTTGGTAGTTGACTGTTGTGTTATGATTCTGGTTGTTTGCTGTCTGAAGACCAAGACTCACTCACATAGACTTCCAAGTATGCCCATACATACACAGAAGGAAGGGGAGAGGATAGGAGTATCACACCGCACAGGGAGGGATAAACACAGCCGAAGACTTGACTATGTGATATGACAAGGTACACTGAAAGTGCAATTCACTCCATTCAATCCTCACAACCAGTCATAAAGAAAAGCCGAGCAGATCACATCCAGGAAAACAATGAAACGATGATAGTCCAAACCCAGTACACACTGTTTATTAAACTCAAGGAGTCTCAAATTGTCAGGATAACTTCAATACTACAGTGCGCTGCTCAGAAATGAGCAGCGCTTCACTCCCCAACCCTGATTAGCACCCGTAACACCCCTGAGCCCCTGAAACAACAAGCGCCACCCAGATACAGCCTCCTGAGGGAAGCGCCACCCTGAAACAGGCCCCTGAGGCCAAGCGCCACTCAGAGGATGAAGAAGAAGACCAGCGCCACAGTATCTGATGATGACGAAGTGTCTGAAGACTTCCCGGGTGGAAGTCTGCAGCAGTGCCACCAAACCCTGACAAGATGACCTCTGAGAAGAAGAAGCTGCAGCTATGGCTGCAGCGCCACCACCCTGGAACCCCACTCCGGAGGAGGGTCCAGCAGGGCACCAATCTCTCTCGCCTCCAACAGACCTCGATAGCCCAGACCTCTGTCAGCCCCTGCGTGCTGGCAGAGTACAGCGCAGGTCCCAGCTATGGTCGGCGCTCCGAAGGTCTGGCTATGCCTGTCTCCTTCCACGCTGAGCTGTCACCACTTTCGGTTCACACGTAGCGCAGCAGCGATGTACTCAATACCAGCTGCCAAAAGCCCTAAGCCGATGTCTACACTAGCCTAGACTCGACCTAGTCCGGACTGACTGACCGACCGGTACCGTTTCTGTTTCGGCCTCTCGGCCTCTACAGGACCCGGCTAAAGGCTATAGGACCGTCTATCAGAATAGGCCCTCAGGGCCTATCTGTCCTAGGGGTAGCCCGGGCCTGCTATTCGCAGTTAGGGTAGCTGTAGGGAATTTTGTTAGTACCGGGAGTGCATATTTCCCGAATTTGCAGATATGTCCCTCACGAATTTCCCTCACAGGTAGGTCTCTCGGTTAGCCCTCAGCCGAACAAAAATTGTGAATCTGTCCTACCTATAGTACAGCCTCGACAGAGAGAGGCTACAGGCGACCAGAAAACAGCAAGTCATTGCAGACCTACCCTCCCCCGGAGCAAGGACTTCCGAGCTAGGGGCGTAGGCGTGCAGAGTGCCGAAGGGATACTCCCTTTTGTGCTGCCTCATATTTGAGGATAACTGACTTGGCAGTCTTCAGAAGTTCCTTGCGAGTAAACCAGCAGTCCTCGGTATGTGGCTGGTACAAGAACTTCACAAGGTACTCCTTATCCGGACCTGTACCTGATTCATCCTCCACAGATTCGACCTCATACCCCTTACCAGGGATAGGGGCCCTGAACTGAGGAGGCCTATCTGGGAATGCATCAGCTGATGTGAATGGCATCAGCTTCAATGCATGGATGACAGGGTCGGTTTGTAGATGATCCATCCACTGTACAGGATGGTCCGAATGGTTCGGCTCCTACTGTATCTAAGACCTGCCATGGACCCATGTATCGTGGCAGCAGCTTAGGTGATATGTCCTCCTCTCGTGACAGCTCGGAACTGAGTACCCACACCCAGTCACCTGTGCGAATAGTAGAGGGACGTTTGTGCTTATTAGCCGGCTGAATCATTGTCTTTTGAGCCTTCAGCAGGTTAGCACGGGCGCGCTCAATGTTCACACGGTAACGTTTAGTGAACTCTGCAGTTCCAGGCGTCAACGTGGGGGTAGCCTTGTCGGTGATATCATCGAGAGGTTGTTGTGGTTCACGACCCCAGTGTAACCGGTAGGGTGTGAAGCCAGTAGAGGAGTGTACAGACGTGTCATATACAGGTCGTGCACGACTCAAATGGAGATCCCAGTCCTGCTGATCTGGGCTGATCACAAGATGCAGCGGCTGGAAGAGAATCTGGTTCATCACCTCAGCCTGACCATTGGCTTCAGGATGACGACCAAATGTCATATCCACGCGAGAATGAAGGTAATCCCTGCAGTAGGATTGCTATTCATCGCTGCAAAACCGGGAATCTCTGTCACTGACGATGGAGGTGGGTGGTCCATGATGTGTAACCCACCGGTCAGCAAATGCCGCCTCAACGGCTGACACATGAGCCTCAGCTGGTAAGGGGATGAACTCTGCGTATTTGGAAAACCTATCCACACATACCATGACCTGACGCATACCGGGGGGTAGTCCTACCTAAGTCAGTAAAATCAATGGACACTGACTGTGCAAGAGCATCAGGGATAGGTGGTGGTTTGAGCAGGCCAAGGGGAGGTCGACATACAACCTTGTTCCTTTGGCATAACTCATAGGTTTCCACATAGTGCAGCATGTCACTCCTCATCTCCTTCCAGAAGAAGCGTTGCGACAGGGCTGCATAAGATTTGAGGGCACCAAAGTGACCACGAGCATCATGACACTCTGATATCAGAAGTGTTCTCAGCTTGCGGTCCTGGGGAATGCACAGACGCTCCTCACCTCTGCTGCATGTGTACAGCAGACCTGAAATCAGAGTATATTCTGGTTCAGAGGCAGGATCGTCTTGGAGATTCCTCACGATAGGCCCAAAGATCTCATCCTGGGGCAGCAA